GAGGGGGGGGGGTGTTGTTGGAAAATATTCGCTAAGCAATGTGATGCGTATGTAATTTGATTCAATGAACACATAATTTAAAGCCTATGCGTCATATATATGTATATAAATTTTTAAAGCTTATTACTTGGCTGTCTTTTCTAGATGTTGTAAGAGTGCTTACGCACACTGCACTTCCTTTAGAAGTCGAAAGCCTTTATTCATTTATGAGCGTGATGACAATGAGGATGTATTGTGGAGAGGAATAACTTGTCCATTTCATGGTGATGCGTGCCGTCCATCAAAATAAGGTTATGATCACTTCTTTTAGTACTCCCTCAACGTCGGGAAAAAAAATCCACCATGAGCTTGTGAATTGCATTGGAGACTGCGATATTGCTGTAGATGGAAAAAGGCAATATGACAGATGATTTGATCTAATTCTAGTGCGCTTACATAAAGTGCTTTGGAGCGCCTTGGCGTCAGAATCCGAACCTGATAGTCTCCGCAGTGAATTGAATGTCTCAGCTTCTTCCATGATGCTTGTATTTAATAAAGACCTCCGTTGCTTCAAGTCTATACAAAAGACCTGCAGAAAAGACCTGCGAACATAGTCTTTCAAGAGCTAAGAAACTTTTGAGCAAAGTGCAGTGACAAGTGGAAGCAAAAACCATCTGGTTCTTTTCGATGAGAACGACTTTTGCAAAGATGAAAGCACAACTTGCCTGCACAAGGCCTGGAAGACACTTCTCAAAACATGCCGACTAAATTTGCCCAAACTACCAGGTTTTCGGATGTGTGTGGGATAATGCCTAAACACCCCGCAACTTTTTATAGAAGGGCTTAGGCTGAGTTCAGATGTATGCATGAAATTGACGACCTGGATAACCGATGAAGGTTGACAATAGTGCATTACCTTCTATGGTGAATTTCTTTCACCTCCTTCAAATGTTTTGGTTCCCAACCACCTCTTGATGGAACTGCCAAATTTATTACAAACACACAGTTTACTCTGGTTTGGCGTATTATTTCCGTTTATTTATTTACTTCAAATGGCAGGACTCTTTGATAGTTATCATTAGCCCTTTAGCTGGCTTCGGGCTTCACAGAGGGAAGGTTCATCAAAGTAGCAGAAGGTCGAGGGGTGAGAAAGAGAAGAGCGATTCACAGATGTAAAAGAGGCAGACAGACACAAAGGTAGAGAAAAAGGTGAGGTGAGTACTGTGAAAGTGGTGGAATATGACATACCTTGAGGTCATGGTAGTTTGGAGTGAGAAGTCAACTGCCGGTTAATATGCTTTTTTGCCGCATGAGTATACGTTGTCACGTGGGGGTAAGTTTTTCGCCCACCCCTTTTTTCCTATTATAAAGTCTCTTGTTAGCAAATCTTACCTGAAAATGTTCTTCATATTTTTCCCATAAATATATCTCAAACAAATTATAAGAGAAACGTTACCGACAGGTGGCTCGAATTAACCAATGCGTTTCTCCACCCACATCACTGGAGGCGAAATCTCACCTGTTGGTGGGGGGGGGGGGGGGGGGAGAATGCACGCTGACCTCTCCGGCGACTCGTTTTATTGTTATATTACTTATTGGGAAACGCTCCAGAAATCGATGTGTGGGTTAAGTAAATTGTTAGCTGAAAAAATATGTAGCTTTGTGATAGGAGAAATACATTTCTTAAATCGTAGAGGTCGCGAGTTCGAGATCCATTGGTTGGGTTGGTAAAGTGCACTGATTTCGTTAGAATTGGAGAGTGGCTGCACCAAAATGGTTTTCTTTGAGTAGCAGGTGGAATTACTTGATATTTCCTTTTAATGTTTTATTTTTTGCTACATTTTCTGTATTTTCCCTTTTTACCGCTGCTGTTGTTTGTGAGGAAAACAAAGACAAATGGACTGCTTTCCAAAATCTGTTTCCTTGGCTGTATTTGGGTGTGTTGTGTAATATCCAAGGCCAATTCTTCAATCGAGGGTAGTGGTACAACAACTTGGTGATTAGATAATTGAGAAAGTATTACGTTTGGTATTCTTTTGTGCATATCACTATCTATATGGACAAGACCACGTGGCCTAGAATCGAAACGAACATTTTTCATTGTATGCATTCTTTCCCTTTTGTGAAATTGTATATTAGATTTTAAGTCCGACCTTTCTGTTTTTTGATCATGTGCATGTGTGATTTTTTACAGAAAAGATGCAACTTCATTCATGAAGAGGCGTCTGTGACCTTCGGTCAAGTGTTGGCTTTGATGCGTATATTGAAGCGCCTTATTTCTAGGATGCATCGAGAGCGCGAGAGAGAGAGGTTCTTCAGACCCGCCCACTGTTTCAAAATATGTAAATAAGGTGCAACTCTTGTGCTAACACGCCTAGTCCAGTAAGCGATTTTACTGGTTGGTCCTAGAACTGATACGTTTGTGGGGGTGTGTGTGTATGCGTGTGTTCGTATTTGCTACTATCACTACTAGCTGTTGTGTTCTCTTGGTGAGTGGAGTAAGTCTCAGTATCATGTGTCCTCTTTGTGTATTTACTTAAGCGCTCAAGTTTTCTTAAAATTATTTCTTTGAGATCTGATCTAGAAGTCAGTTAGTTTCTTGATGTGATAATTACTTCAGGCAATTTATTTATTTCAAATGGCAGGCGTTATGATAGCTGTCATTAGCCATTTAGCTGACTTCGGGCTTCACAGAAGGAAGGTTCATCAAAGTAGCAGAAAGTCGAGAGGTGGGGATCCGAAGAGCGGTTCACAGATGTAACAGATACAGGCACAGGGGCAGAGAAAAGGTAAGGTGAGTACTGTGAAAGGGGTCGGATATGACAAGCAGTCGGGCCATGGTAGTTTGAAGTGAGAGAGTTAACAGACTTTTTTGTCGTGTGAGTATATGTTGCCCAGGGTGCACCACGTGGAGGTAAGTCTATTGCACACCCCACTTCAGGCAATTTGATACTTATTTTCATGCGTGTATGTTGCCTCCCAAATCCCCTTGTTGTTTACATGCCCCAGTTCAATATGAGCTCAGGGAGGATAAATGTACAGGTTTATAGCCTAGGAACTTCAGGTTTTATTATTCCAATTTTGGGATTTATTCGCTGTGCTTTGTGGGGCTCAGGGTGTGTTTTTCATTTTGGTCATTTAGATGCAAGCAGAAGGTGAAAGCTAATTTGTTGTTGCCTCTATGTACATGCCCATCTTTGCCAGTCCTTGTCATTCTGTTCTCAGTAGTTGTTTACCGAGGAGTATCGAATCCGTGACTCCTAATCTGGTAAATAAACCCCGTTTCGTTCCATACCATCGTTCCTACAGATGGTAGGTTACTTAATAATATTAAATTAGGTGCCGTCAACTAGTTCTAAACCAAAAATGCTATTGCAGACTTCATTTTTTATCACCATTATTTGGGATTGAATTGGGACATTTGTGGTGAAATTTTTATTCGAATTTTTCTCCCAATATCCCCCATCACTACCTCTTTTGGATTTACGTGATTCAGGCGTTACGAGGTAGTTCTAAATAGGGGAAGGTGATCACTCTTCCATCACAATTATCGATAATTTAAGATCCTGACGTAGTAGTAGTAGTATGGACCCATATTCATCAAGTCTTCACTTTTCTTTGTGTTGCCTCAACTTCTTATCAAGTTTTTTCAGGAGTTGATTTCGTCTCAACGTGTTGTCACTCTTTTTTACCGACGTTAAAAGTTGTTACCTCCTATTGGTCTTTTGTTCTTTCCTTTTTCGCTCGTACAGGCTTTGTTTTTTTAATTGGCTTATTTCCGTCTTTCAAAATTCATCACTTTTGCTAAGCTTGCTAATTATTACAATTGAGAGGGAGAGAGTGTGTGTAGATGTCCTCGCGAATACTTAATTCTCTGGTGCTGTCATTCAAGCGATGCAGTCAAAAAGTCTGCACTTCGATGGCGTTGTGTGTGTGTGTGTCTACAAAATTAAAAGTCCAGGGGTTTAAGTACACTATTTGGTGTACCTCCAGTGACTTGGATTGTCAACCTCTCTGATTAAGTCTGTCCAATCCAAATGTTGGTAGAAATTGAATTCATCGCCCTAACGACCTAGTGATCTCTCTCTCTCTCCCATCTTGTGATTTGGTGGAAAAATCTTGTTTCCAAGACAGGATTGTTTTTGTGAATTTCTATTAGGCATCTATAATCTTTTCAAGCTTCTATTTTCAGGTTTCTCTGATTAAAAATTACCTTTTTTAGTTATTTATTGATTATTGATGATCTAATTTATCTCCATACTGCTAAGTTTTAGTTCAATTCTTCTTTCATTTCTCTAAAAGTAGTCTCCTTTTAAATGCTTCCCTTAGATTTCAACTTTTTTCGCTTTTTAATATTTGGCAAAGGTTATTTTCAAGTACCTGCCGCCATTTAGGTGGTGGCTGTTAATTAGTTCCAATGTTAAAATCAAATTACCTTGAACGAATCTTTCATTGATTAGCAAAGTACTTGACCCCCCCCCCCCGCCTCCCCGTTTCTTATTCCTATTTGAAACGCTGACAATGTTTAGCCGAAATGACTAAAACTCCACCTCACCCTACCCCCCCCCACCCCCCAGTAATTATTTTATTGGTATAGAATTAATATGTACTCTTCATTTGCTATAATTAAACGGACAGTTGGAATTGAGGGAATCAATCAATGAAATACGAGATAGGGGGAAGCTTGCCAATTAAAAATACCATTGTTAATTTAATAAGCCTTAGCGATATCTCATGGCTATTAGATTTCGCCTATCTATTTCTCATACTTTAATTCTTTTTCACTTTCCCTGTTGCAGCAAGATGTGCGTTACAACCTAATGGCAGTGGTACCCGATCGTCGACTGGCCTTGAGCTCTCGACTCGACAATCTTGAAAAGAACCGATCCATTCTCGAAAGGACCATCCAACAACTCTCCAGCAGCAACGTCACCGCGGTTCAAGTGAAATTGGAACATAACGGAAGTTTGGAGACAGCTAACTCGACACCAGATATTAATGGGAGTCCAGAACCAGACGATACCCATGAACAGCAGGAAAATAATACAGAGACAGAATCAGAGGATACCAATGCGGAAAACTCCGAGGGAGGTGACGTTGGTTCAGATGGACGCCCTCTGACACGATCTGCTAGTCGTGCGGCTGCCGCCGCTGTAAGATCTAAGCTCTTGAAACGCTCCCCTTCGCTTACCCCATCGAAGAAATTAAATCTCCGCGGTTTCGGCAGCTCTGCTCCCTCACCTTCCTCTATCTGTATCGATTTAACGGAGGATCCATCTCTATGTGGTAACAACAATAATGCTGTTGCGGTTGAAGAGACCTCTGAGGGAGTTACTACGAGGAGAAAAAGTTTGGTAGTGAAAGAACAGGCTCCTCTTGCGAAATATCCCACACGTTCATCAACCCGTCGAGATACCATTGCCTCTCATTCTCTAGCCACCACGAATCGAGTCGTCAAAGAAGAAGAGGGAACTTCACCGAATATTAATTCCTCTGCCTCATCGTCAATGACTACAGCCTTCTTAACTACTGAGAATTTGAGTCTTCTTCTTGCTAGTATCGAGGCGCAGGCTAGAGCCTGTTCTTCAGCATTGGCAGAAGAAGAAGCGAGACGACAGTCTTATCGGGTGGATGCTGCTCGACGAATCCACAACTATGAGCCCTTCATCCGAGCATTCTTAAAACAACTAAAAGAGCATGGGATGTTACAGAAACTGGTTGGTGAAGCTAACGCGATTGGTAACAGCGGCAGTTCTAATGGAAGACAGCTGAGAAAGAGACGACGTATTATTAATTCTTCTGGGAAATCGGCACAAAAGTCGACAAATTGGTCGGCTTCATCTGCGTCTGGGTCAACATCCACAACATCGTCCATAATGTCCACTGGAAATGCGGGAGATGGGATATCTGCGGCTGGAAGGGCAGTAAAGAGAGCTCGTCTGACTGCTGTCTCTGCAAATAATCGACCCTCTACGAGAATGTCGACAATGGGCAGTTCTAGAGTATCCACATCCCCCTCTTCCACTAGTCGCCGAAGAACGCCAAGGAGACCTCTGTGATATGTGTGTGGAATATCGTTTGTCTTTGCTCTCACGCCATTTATTGGTTCATATTGCCATCCACCTTCCCCATGGTACATGTTTCTTTCTGTTTTGCTTTCTTTCTTTCTACTTTTTTCTTTCTTACTGTACAGTTTTTTCTCGGTTTCTCAATTCTGTACATATTCTATATCCCTACATCCTTACACGCTGAATAATATATCTGGTTATGCAGTGTGTGTGTGCATGACGAAATTGATTGTCTGGTAATACTGTGGATGATGTTAATCTTATTGAATTATACGCATTATTCCTTGTCGCGATGCTTTTGTCACTCTTATGCCCTGGCCATGCTGTAATAAAAGCGTTTGTCTTGGAAGTCGGTAGTTGGGTAGAACGATCCTATTTATTTAAAAAGGCGATGTAGAAAGTAGGAGGAATATGTATACCAGCAGAGTTACCTTTAGGCTGAGTAAGGAGAGTGTTATTTTTACAGCAAGTCGATGCAACGGTTGGGATTGGTTGACTTGACTAATAACTGAACAAATAGTTGATTAAGATATACTGATAGCCGCTTCGAAATCACAAGCAGCCGATTCAATGAGGGATAAGCAAAAGGAAATGAAAGCTTTTTATGATTATGACTCAGAGTTCTATTAAATTCGGTTATTTGGTTAATAGAAGGTTGGTTTGGCAGAACTCTATATGGAATTAATTGAAATTCGCAGTTACGATATCCAGTGTCAGAATAAACGACACTTTTAGTAGTATAAAACTGAATTCAAAATGTAATAAATAGAATGTAATAAAGAAAGCGTTAATTTTTCAAACGACAAAGACTATTATTTTAGACTGAGATTAATTAGAACTTTGGGAAAATAATACACATTTTTAAGGACATAAAATAGAAATCAAATGAATAAGACTCTGATCTTTATTTCAATAAATGATTATATTTGCAAATTAAAGTAAATCTCTAAAATTAAAATAATTTAAGATCTTTATTGGAAATACCTTTTCATAACTAATTATATATTAGGACTTTGTTTTGGCGTATAGATAAATTGGGCCTTTTCTGAACATTTCCTAGAATTTTGCAGTCGTATTCATCATCAAAGTAATTGCTCTTGCTTGGTATTTCCTAATTTGGTATATAACGTTATTTTACCTTATTCTAGGTCATGGCTATTTATGACAGTATGATAGGCGAGAAACCTGCCATCATATTTGACCTGGGAACTGCTTACTTAAAGTAAGGTCTTGTCCTTTCTTTCTAGCAAGTTTTAGAATCGGTTTTGCTGGAGAAGCTAATCCGCGCTATATTCTTCCTTCTCCATTTGCTACCATTGACTATGCCCACGCTAATATCTTTGAAACTCTCAAAGAGCTCTTTCATCGACTCTGTTACAAGTAACCTTATTGAACAACCATTTGACTTGGATTCTTTAGATATCTTATTGTGAACGCAAAGGAGCGTCGATTTGTAATTGTTGAGTCAGTTATGATGCCCACTAATTTTCGTCAGTCAGTAGCGGATGTCCTTTTCCGTCATTTTGAAGTTCTATCCATTCTTTTCGCTCCTTCTCATCTAGTGGCCCTTTTCACTCTTGGAGTCTCCACTGGTTTGGTGTTGGATTGTGGTTTCACAGAAGCTCTAATTCTTCCCATTTACGAAGGTTATACTCTTCTCAATGCTTGGCATTCAGCACCACTTGGCAGCAAGCATATTCAAAAGGCAAGTGTTGAAAATTGTTATCTACCAGTCAGAGTCAAGTTAATAGTACATACTTGTTGGAATTTGCAGCAGCCTAAAAGATTATATAATTAAGTTATCTCCACTCTCATATTTGTGCAAGTGAAACAGCAGTCAATTCTATTTTGCTTTTTATCTGACTAACAGCAGTCGAGATCCTAGCTCATTTAGAAACCCACAATTATAATCTGAAGTCAGTTAAAGTTAATTTTATATTGTAGTATCATCAAGTATGCCTAGAAATGGTATTTTCTAAGCTCTGTTAAATATTATGAGGTCGTCCCCCAGAGCTTGCTCAGTTGAGAAATCCTCTTTGCAGTTTTAATAGTGAGGATGCTTTAAAATGAACTTTAATTTCTTTCCTAATTGTTGAAAAAGAATCTCGGGAATGGCGGTTAAAGTGAATTTGAAAAAACACCATTCTTAATAGCGTATTGTGGGCAACGTGCAAAGCCCTAGGTGAGACCAGAGAAAATGTTTTCGCTGGGTCAAACCTTAGTTCTCTTTGGCTATTAACTCATTTAATAGGGAAGAGGTTCACCTAATAACGATAGCATCCAACTATCCGTTTCACATTTGGATTTATCGTATTCATGGATTTATGGAGAGATATATATCCCGTGAAGGATGTATATAAATTTTACTGAGGAAAACCGACGTTTAATCATATTTGGAGTTCTAGAGTGTTGTTTTTAAGCTTTTTCAAAACCCAATAGCCGGAATGAGCTACTCTCAAATTTATTACTTTTGTCCTCATGTTTGTGACTAATAACTTTATCAATCATGGTGATATTTTTTCAGGAACTGGGGAGGCAACTTCGTGAGCATGCCTTTGTTGATGCGGATGAAGCCGGAACAGAACGCCTTAAGTTGTCAGAAGTTCCCGATTTTGACCCGGACAGGGACATAACCCCCTGTGCACTGGAGGATATTATCGGGCGGGCTTGTTTCGTAAGTCCAATGGAGAGAGCAGCGGCATGGAGACGCTGGTCTGAGAGCCCAGACACCACGGAATCCCCCACGTACGCCAGCGAAGTCTTTACTTGCCCCCTAGGTGGTGGAGGTGGTCGTGGTCCCCTCCTCGTGCACATCCCCTCGCGACTACGGGAGTCAGTTGTGGAGATGCTATTCACCCCACAAGGTGACCTCGATGGAGTTTCCATCCCTTCAATGTTCCTTGATTGCCTTCTAATGTGTCCCATCGATTGTAGAATGTAAGTGAAGACTTTCTTTTGCAATTAATTCCATTTCCTTATATCCTTGAAAACGTGTACTTGTATGAACATGCTTTGACGGAATTATTTGTTCTATTAGAAGGTTGGAACGGGTTTAAGTGTCGCAACTTCTCTGATGTATTTGTGTGCTTTTTAGGGCTTTTGTGCAGAACATGGTTTGTATTGGTGGTACAACAATGCTTCCAGGTTTTATTGAACGCCTAAACGAAGAGCTAAAGCGTTCCCTAGATCTTCCAAAATACTCACCGCTCAATGCCCTCAAAGAACACATCAAATTCCACCAACCACCTTCAAAGCCCAACTACACTGCTTGGCTTGGAGGTTCGTTTGTATATTTATTCATACTCAGTGTTATAATTATTAAAAATTTTGGATGAAAGTATTAAATGGGTAAATTTATTCATAAAGATTGCATAGGCTGTTCTAACCGAACAGGTGTACATCAAACTGGAAAGATGTACCTTGGAGAAAAAAGGTAGGGGAGTGGGAGGGGGGGAGGGCGATTGGATCCATGAGCTTTGTGGTTTTAATTCCCCACTTTTATGCTACCCTGTTGTTTTTTCTTCATAAGATCTTTTTGGCGACTCGCATTGAGTTGTGCTTAAAAGTCGCGGGGGGGGGGGGGGGGGGGGNGGGGGGGCGGGCAACATTGCTTTCCTATCCTAGAACGCTCGCATGCATTTCGAAGTTTTACATTTTCGCTGTTTTCAATCGAATTCCTTTTTTTGAGGATGGAATCAATCAAGCCCAAAAACTTCTTGGTGCTTTGGTCGATTTACCTCAACTGTGACATCGTTAAATAGGCATATTTGACATGCTTTTGTCTCTGATGCTGATGAGGTAAGCGTTCTAGCGTCATTTTAGTTGATGTTGATCATTCGAGCAATGCGCGCATACTTCTAGTGATTTCTGAATTGATCACTAGCTCATCGTTATGCATAGTTTGCTAGTTCTCCTATCCACACCCAGAATGTGGAAGAGAGAGAGAAGACGATAATTTTTAAACGATAATTTTTCATTAAGTGAATTAATTTCCTTGTTTAGAATTCGATAGGTGGTTAATGACTGGCCCTCTGCTTACCTAATAATTGTAGCGATCATTGTCTCACTGGTAGCACGTATTCAGGTGAAAGCGCAGAAATCGGATGATCATTTATCCAGTGCACCAGAGTGAATTCAATGGGCTTCACTCGGGTGTACCACGAGTATTCGACCTCAGTTCCTAAATAAAACTCGTTTTATTTTTCTCTATTTTTTCTCACCATTTCATTGCGGTCAAAATTTTCCACAGCTTATATTGTTTTTTTCTGTTTATGCTTTCTAGGGGCAATATTCGGCGCATTAGAATGTCTCCCTGGTCGATCGATATTGCGGGAATCCTACTTAGCGAATCCCAAGCTACCAGATTGGAATGTGCTACCAGAGGAGACCGCTGCTGTATCCGCTCCACAATCAGAACTCGAACCCAAGCATTCAAGGTGATGTCTCTTCAACCTTCATCCCGAATTCTATTATCATCTTGTTCGGCTGAAGCAGCCATCTCGATCACTGACTTGTCGTTTTTTTTAAATTTTATTTCCAAGAGGTTGGGAACATTGTATTGTTAATATGAGAAATATAATTATATCATCGCATTGAAGTTGGGATTTGTCGTAAACACTACTTACTACTTCGAAGTAATAGGGCCAGCTTTGATTGAGCTTTTTTTACAATTCGAATTAAATCAAACAGAGAGAGAGAGGGAGGGAGAGAGAAAGTAATTGACTAGTTTCATTATCGAGTTCAAAAGTTAGTGGATGGGAGTAAAGTTAAACTACCTCTAAATCGCGAGTGTTGAAAATCTCTCACCTAATTAGCATATTTCTCTGCATACATTTTTTTCTAAAGCCTATAAAGTTACCCTTTCACTTACCTCAATCATCCTTCCGCGTTGACTCATACCTGCATACTGCTATAATTATTTTATTGGTTTGCTCATCAAACAGTGAGCTTCCTCGCGGTATCTCAATCCTCCTGAGACTCCGCTATTCCTCCTCTTCCCCATCATCCATTACCACCAGGTCAACATACACGAGGTCCACCCGGGGGGGGGGAGGGTTATCGCCTGTCTACCTTCCTGTTTGTAAGGAAATGTCGTTAAACATAATCTGTTTGAGTTCTTGATGTATCTTTGCTGACAGAACTAGTGCTTCCTGGCGCCACTTAAGTTGCCTCAAATTGCTTATAATATTAGGGGAGTTTTTTTGCAAAATCTTGTCACCATATTGGCTAATATTGAACAAATCTCAGCGAAATAGTGAGAATATAATTTTGACCATTGGTGCGGGTAAGCATAGCAATGCAATTGGGACGTTTGGTAAAACGAGAAATTGATAATTGGTGCGGCAGCATCTCGAATTTGGATTCTTTAAAATGTTGACCCGAATTTTCCGATGAGTCTAATCTAATCTCTCAATTTCCAAGTAAGCCAACTTTAATAATAAACACTCGGGGTGGGCGATAGACCCACCTTCACGTGGTGCACCCTGGGCAACGTATACTCATACGGCAAAACAGTCTTTTAACTAGTACTTGACTTCTGACTTCAAACTACCATGACCTGACTCCATGTCATATTCGATCATTACACAGTACTCACCTTACCTTTTTTCTACCCTTGTGGCTGTCTCTTTTACATCTTTGAAACGCTCTTCTGTTCCTCCTCCCCCCCCCCCCCCCCCCTCTCGAATATTTTCACTTTGATGTTCCTTCCCCTCTGTGAAGCCTGAAGTCAGCTAAAGGACTAATGACAACTATCAGAACGCCCACCGTTTGATATAAATAAATAGATAATAAACACTCACTTTCCTTTGACTTTCCCCCTCACGCTTTAATGTAAAAGGAATATATTGAACTATTACTGCTTCCAGTACCTTATTCTGGATCCATTAGAAGACCTATTTTCATGTAGAAATCAATGTATTTGACTGGTCTAAAAGATTGAATCAAGTCAATAACGCCATGAGATTGACTTTGAGTTACTGTAGGAGAGGGAGAGGGAGAGACCGTAAATTAATTGTCAAATCAATCAAAAAAAGAAGAGACAAAGCAGAACTGATTCAAAATGCCGGGGACACAAAAGAATGAATGAAGATTAGAAGTTCACCATGACAACGGGCAGGGAAGGGCGCTTGAGACTAATTTTCCACTAAGGAAAGCTTCAAAACACGTTCCAACTCCTCATCCTCCTTCTTTCGGCGCTCCTCTTCTTGGACAAGTTCTTCTCGGGAGAGTTCCAAGGCTTTGAGATATTCTTGCTCCAAATCACTTAATCCACTTTCTTGTTGGAAGCTTTCAGCGATGGCTCTGTACACAAATGAAAATGATATAAACCATATACTATTAAAAGTAAATAAGTAGAGTAAATTTCTTAAACTCACTCTTGTATCATAGCTTCCTCAGGATCTACATATTCACCCGGACGGGCTTCGACAACTCCACGCTTGGCCTATAATAGATCAAAAGAGAATATTTTGCCAACATATTCAATTAAAATTTATTGAATTGAAGAGGAAAGACTGATCACCAAAGAGTATTGGCGTTGAGTGAGATGTTCAGCACCACCGTATTCCACCAGTGATCTCTGAACGGCCATTTGGACAAGTTGTTCTTCCTCATCAATGGTTCCGAAATGACCCGGTGAAGCCTCCTCTATGGAATAAAAATTTTCAAACGATAACACCGCAGTCCTTGAGTGCAACACAAACGAACAAGATATGCAACTTAGAACCAAACAGATAATAACCAACAAAATGAAATAGGTAGCAAATAGTTACCAAAAGTCGCATATTAACGATAAGCTGTACCTTTTTCTAAAGTGGACAAGAAGGGTCATTAACGGAGCGTGTTCATTTAGTAAAGAATAAAAAGAGAGTCGGTTATTAGGATGTGTCAAGATTTTAATAGTGGTGGGTAGGAAACGATAGGAGTGTTAAGCACAGCCCCTGCATTTCCCCAGAGCATGGGAGGGGGGAGCAGTTTCGACCACAGGACAACTATTTCGCCATCCCCATGAAATTTAGCACTTGACAAGTGGATTTCCACGAAAGATATCCTATTTTTAACTTCCACTGCTGGAATTTTTCGTCGGAGTAAAATCTCGGGATTGTCAATTCCCACCCTAAGCGTCTATCAATTGAGTATCGGACTACACTGACAAACCTATTGCACATAAACAATCCTAGCTATTGATCTGCGTGTCAGTGGTGCAGTAGTTGACGTGCACGATTGTCAAATCAGGAGGCGCAAGATGTGATGTGGGTGACCAATAGGTGTTGAGGCAACTTCCCCCACTCGGAGTAGTGAAGTTTGTTCCTTTCCATTCAAGTTATTTCAAGCATGTTTATCATTTCATTTTGGTAAATAAAGATGCCGCGAGTGCTAAGATCGACCCCCCCCCCCACTGTCAATCGTCTTGTTTCTAGATTCTCCAGGTCCTTTCAAGCGGATGAAACCAAGATGATCTGTAGGACAAACAACCATTTATTATGTAATTCCGTATTGCACAATACTACTAGTGAGATCGAAGATGTTGTTTTAAGAAGTTATTCATCAGTAAGGGGTGTGCTTTTTCTCCAAGACTACAGTAATTCCATGATGAGATTGACTACTGAATCTAGTAATTCCTTAATATTCACGGATGATGACTGTTTGGAGTTTCTTTCACATTAAAATAACATTACCACTTGTACAAAATAGTTATGCTCTCGAGGCAAGGAAATCGTCGAAACGATAAAAATGCAAAGCACTAGTTGAAATATTACTTGAGCACCTATTATGCAATTGAGGTATTTACCTAGCATCAAAACCAATCCTATTCTTATTCTAAGAGCTTTAGCGAGTAGCAATAGTCGATATACAATGGCGTATAAATAGGGACGACAATTTTAATGAGGATGAACATATAACACGGAATTAGTTTGTCATTTGACACCACTTTTACATTCTACATGAACCATCCTTAGAAAACCAAATCATCAAAAAGTGCATAACCAGTCTTGATGCTGCATTTAGAAGCTGACGCATATAAAAACGCTGGAATAGTCAAGTACTCTGAACTATTGAAATGATGATGATGCTGTGGCGGCGTTTAGAAAGTATGCAGTGTAGATTTGTAGCTATTTTGGAGATTTTCTCACGCAGCTAGATTTTGTTTTAACACAGGCTTAATCACTTTTCCCAACTAACTTCTCTAAATCCCTATATCTCACTTCCCCGTCAAAATAAATGCCGTTTAGAACATCGATCTGGGGAGGGAAGAAAATCTCAAATTTCCACATGTTGTTTCTATAACAGGCTCCAACCCCTTTACCCCCCCCCCCCCCCCCCCCCCCCCCACCCCTCCCCTTTCATTCACAATGCCAGATGAGTGGGTCAATGCTGGGCATCACGTAGCAGCCGTTCTGATTGGTCCGTTTGCGTGCGTAATTCCCCTTCCACAAGAACGTACACATGTTTATTCTAGATAACTAACCCTCAACAGCGTTAAAGTAGTAAGTAAATTGTAATTCGGCCTCTTTCGTCAGATCAACTCTGTTTTGACATTCCTGGTAGAAAATAAGTGGGCGCGTATAAATAGGCTGGAGGATTTTTAAAAAAAGTTTTTTTTATGGAATTAAGGCAGACAGTGGTGCTTCGGGTTAGGTTACTAGAGCGCACTAAACTTACCTCCCGAATTGGCGTTGTATAAATGGATATCTGGAAAACGATAAAGACGACCCATTTATCATTTGTAAGGGTGCAGACTCTCAGCGGCATAAATTGGCATTGGGAGATAAGTCCCAAACATATAAGCCAAGTAGCGTTTCCCAACTAGGTAGAAAAGAGACATCTCGATTCCTTTCTGATGAGGAATTCCCATTTTATTCCCCCCCCTCTCTCCCTCTCTATCTCTCTCTCAACTCAATGCGGTTGGTAATCTTCGTCGATGTGCAAAAAGGGCTTATGACCTTTAAAATAACAGGCGAAATCAATGAACACAGTGATACCGACATCAAAAATGACAAAAAATTGACCTTCGGTATCTGAGTTAGCTTTCATTAATGCCGACTTTACCCTACTTACTATGAAGCGAAGAGTATATTATGGCAACCACGTTGCTTTGGTGAATAAAATGAGTAGATCAATTTTATGATAATCATCTTTAATTCTAGGGGTATCCGCCAGCCAATTGGAAAGCAAAATTTGGAAAAATCTGCACTCAACTGAAGTTGAGCCGTCTTTTTAATCTACAAAAAAACAGTTCGAATTCCTTAAATTTACAACTTGGCGCTATTTTGGTGTTTAGTGAGCTAATTAGTGATTAATTAAAGTGATATTCCGTTTCGCTATGTTTCCAAAATAAGTAGGCATTTTTACTGAAATGAATGCGCTTTTTAAAGTATAATGGAAGAATTGGCATTAACTATTCGTGCATATTATTCCCATACTCTGACCACTTACCGACAACATGATATCCACGTCCAACATCGAAGACACAGTCCTCCACAACGCAAGAAGTAGGCTCCACTTTGTGATGGGCAGCACCTTGGCTCAAATGTTCAACCAGAGGTTCACCTGATGTGCTGGATATCGACGAGTTAGCACCAGTACGGTCGCAGATAACTCCATAGGCAGGTGCGTCAGCTCCGTAGAGATTTCCAAAGGTCACGCAAGCATTGAGTATGTGATACAGTGGTATTTCTGAAGTTAAGAACTAGAAAACTAATCACTTGGAAAAAAACTGGAATTGTCGCGTTTTTCGTACACCAGAAGGCGACTGTACGCCTAGATAACTATAGGTTAATAAACTGAAAAGTATCTGCTAAGAGCCTGAACAAGCCATGACTCCAATTCTCGGAATGAACAATGCGCGTTCTCTGAAGGTTTTATTCAGCTCCCCTCCCCCTTCAATGTGAAAGTTGTGAAGTTCTACTTATAACACCTTGAAATCTTATCATTTCTTTGGAATCGCAATTACTTGGTAAGGTCTTTTATCATGTCATCAGAGTGGCTATAAAACGCCTTTTCAACTGCCTAATCGCATTCAGTTGTAGCTTTTACTGTCCCCTCCCCCCCCCCCCACAAACTATTCCAATTGCCCTTTAAAATACTTTACCTATAAATAGCAGGTTGCTATTTTACTATTGGTTGGATTCAGAAACATCGATGTTTCTTTCATTTCTCGCAAACTCCCACAACTGGGTTCCCCCTATCCGCAGCTCCTCCTACCAGATTCTCTCCCCCTCCCCCCCGACACCTCAACTGCCTTCATTCTTGAATATCCCGCTTTAACCTCCCTAGTTATGCTGTTTCTCTTTAAAATATTGCCCTTTGTGTCTCGAAACACGACATCTAGTGATCCAATTAGTACTGGGGGGGGGGGGGGGGGAGGATTGTTTTAGATAGATTGCTTACCGACACGCATAGGGAATCCATTTGGAATCTTTTTGGTAAGGAATTCTTCCAGTTTGTGGAAGAAGGGGTTGTACTCAGCCATGAGTTCCACAATAGGCAGGACTTGATCTTTCAGCGAGAGAGGATAGTCTTCACACAGCCAAATGTGAGCCTTGTAAGTCTTCAGCTTAGCAGTCATCACTTTAGGTCTACCGATTTCACTCTTCGGTTTTGTGCTAGGGTCATGCGAGAAGTAATCCTCAATTGTGATGTTACCGGGGTTGTAACTAGCGGCCTCCTGAAATGGGTAAAGAGAAGGAACTGTTTGGATAATAAAAAGGAGATCGATGAGGACTCTCACTCTACGTCCAAAAATGGTGCTTAAAATAGGTCGAATTGGGGGGGGGGGGGGGGAATCGTTAAAAAGCACAAGGGGGCTC